TTTAATTGTTTTACATATTCACATTTATTATTTTAAATAAAATGGCATGTAAAGAAGAATTGATTTATTTTAACTGCTATATGCAACATTAATATTAATTTTTTGAATTAAAAAAAAATCACAAACAGATCCGACAAATGTGGCTGAAGTTCTTCAAGAGGTGGCAATCCTACGCAAACTGGACTCCGATTGCATCGTTAAACTGGTGGACAACTGGTTTACAGACTGCGAGAACACGCTATGCATTCAATACGAGTATTACGAGCAAACACTCGCCCACCTCTTGACCCTAAAGTCCGGGGTATTTCCCGCGGGAATGGACAACATTATACACCCGTTAGACTACTGTATTAGCACGGCTCTATTGGGAGACTTGCTCGGGGCAATCGATCACCTTGCTACTAATAATGTCGTACACACTAGACTGGCACCCGAGCACATTTACTTGTGCGCACGTGGTCCGGTTAATTGGCTGAAGATTGGTCATTTTGAGTCGGCAGTGGCGTTAATCAATGGGCTAGATGTGCCTGGTAAATGTCAACAGGAATTTGGCGTGTTTGACGATCTAGATGAGAAGATGTCACTATGTCTCGCCAAATACTTCGCGCCTGAAGTGGTCAGAAATATTGGCTATAATACCGACGCCGATATGTATAGCGTGGGTGCGATAGCAGAGTATATGTTTGGCCTAAACATTACTGAGACAGCGAGGTATATGTTGTTAATTTGCTATATTTTATCAATGTACTTCTGATTTATGATAATAGCTTAATATAATATGATAATTGAGTCAGACTAAAGTTATTTTAATTTCTACTATATAATGTAGTTGTACATGATGTAAATTAATTTATGACATTTTAATTATGGTAATGAAATTAATTTTTTGTAAACAAGAAGTCGCATAACATTTACCGACCACTCAATACCACGCAAATACTGCCGCAAACTCTACGATATTGTGGAGAAAATGTCGGACAAAGATCGTTCACTAAGACCTACAGCCCGTCGAGTATTGGACACTCAAAGCGAGTATGTGGTGTACGATTACCTTGATGTTAACTCTGCCCCAATCAAGTCTATCGTTATGAGAAATCCGGACTTTTTTGACAATCCCTTTGTCCAAAAATACCTCGCTCATAAATTGGCACTGAACATGGTCGCTGAAGTTGTTGTGGCGTAACCTATATGTGATTTATATGGTTGTGATTTATAAACTATATGCAATAGTAGTCAAATGAATTTTGTATTTTTTGAATAAAACTAAATGAATTTATTGAAACGTGTGTTTAATTATTTTATTATCTGTTATGAAGTATTGGTTTGTAACATGTTATCATTGTGACACCTTTTAATTTAATTTATATTTTAATTTATATAACTATGTAAAACTTTTGATGTCTAAATTCAATTTAATTATGATTAAAAATTACTTGATTTTACATAAATATTATTATAATAAATAAGGAAATAGTTCTTGCTGCAAATATTTTATTTATCAATCTGTTTATTTAATTGTGAATAACAATTGTGATCAATCTGTTAGTATTATCTGCAGACATCATTTAAGCTATTTTACCATATCAAAATAAGTTATATTGTTATTGTCTACAAGTTTTATGTTTATGCGTTATATAAGATTATATTATGTTTATTATATACTTAAGCATAACTTTTGGTAAACAAAACCCACACAACATTATGACTAATTTTAATGTTTAATTATGATAAAATTTAGATCAACAACTCATCTAGATCCCACAAACAAATACCGTTAAATTGTGCTAGCTTTGGTGATAAAATATTTATTACAGTATTTGATTAAACTATTAAATTATGGTCAAGAGTAAACATTTTTAAACACTATACCCTAATAATGAAACTTATTTAATAATTATAAATTCAATTATTTGCAGTATTAATATTGTACATTTTGTATCTTAGGCTTTGTTCACAAAGTACGTACGCACTTTTTAAGAAATCTAGACCCCCTCCCCCCCCCCTATGTTCGCAATTGTTCGCATGTTGTCATTTAAGCAA